TTGGTGGCGTTCATCATATCAAAGACACAACTGACCTCGCTTGACCCAATCTGGCAACCTGACGATTCATCTGTATTCTACGGGTATTATCTCTATATTCTCCCTCCCGATATTGTAACCACAAGTTCTTCTTTACCCACTGATAGTTATCATTTTCTGCCCACCATATGTTAACAATTCTGCCTTCCCACTTCCAAAAATGCATTACCCACACCCACTCCCCACAATATTAAGTCATATTATTCTCCCTCCCACTGATTAAATTAAATTTTGCCTGCCCACAGAAAAACGTTCGCGAACACCTTTTTGCACGAACAGCTTCGTTGACTGCACCTGATGAATATTATACCCAAACATGTGGAGTTAGCATGGGATCACCATCTTCACTTGATATTGCTGACATTACATTCCACCTACTGGAAAATAGAATTTTACTACGTGGTGCTCGATATATTAAAATTTGTTATCGTTTTCTTGATGACATCTGCATGGTATTCAAAGGTACCGTACCTGAATTACACAAATTTGTTCAGGAAGCTAATATGCTTCATAACAAATACCGGCTCACATTTGAATACTCCATGATATGAATATAGTAGACGTGAACACGCACACCAACTTGAAACGTAATGATATCGAAAAGATACTCTTCAATTTATATAATAATGAACATGACAATCGTATCTCACATTTACGTGAATCAATGCCTAATAATGAAGGGCAAACAATATTCACAACTACACTCAACCATTATACACAAGGGTCTATGCTCAAAAGAGCCCTTTTAAAAAAACTGGAATGATCAGTTACTCAGTAACATTTTTCCGAATCCTCTCCTTATTGCATTTCGTACTACTAACTTGAAAGATAAATTTACAAGTTCTATTCTACTCTTCTTTATTCTACGTACTAACAAAACGACGAAGAATTACTTTCCATTTTAACTAAATTGTGTAATGAAAGTACGTCGAATATTCTGAAAGCTAAATAAATCGAACGATTTGGTCAAGTATTATTCCGACTGATGAAGGGTTCAACATAGAACCCAAAACAGCACCATCACACTAATGAATAATCCAATTACGGATAAATTTGAGTGCTGCATCGACATAGGCTTTCTTCGTCTGTTGCGATTCCGATGAAAAATTCTTGAAAAATAAATATAAATTGCGTAAACGAGGGGTGAACGCGAAATGAGCAAGCAAGTCTAATCTGTTACGTATTTAGTTAGCTAATGCAATACTGCCCTCAGTCGGTGAGGTATTCGTCAATCCACCACCCCCATCGATAATAAATGCATTGTTAGAAACAGTTTATACAGAAATACAGCAGAAAGCCATTGTGAAAGATCTGTTAAACAACATAGTTGATGAAATTGTTGAGGGAAAGGATCAATAAAAATCATTCTTTAAACATTTTATTTTTTGTCCTGCCTTGTCTTGATTTTTTTCCAGGGGGTCTGAAAGTTTCAGATTTTTTTGTACATGCATATAGTGTAGGATTTTTTTTCAAGCATTGTCATAGAATTTTGTTTCCGCAAAATCTTCCTGGCCCCCAGGATATCAAATGGTCCGCCCCTAAGGCAAATGGTTGGTGCATGCCCAGGGTATTGGGTACATGCAACATTGGACAAATTCTGCCTGCATGTCAATGTTAATGATTTTCAACATTTGTACTACTAGTACTCAGGCGGAATATATTACTCCAGTCTTCAATTTTAATAGAAACCAATAAATTATAAACAATATAAATCCACCAAGTTCTCCATGTGTTTGAAAACAAATTGTAACCTCTGAACTTGCGCAGTACTGATTTGGCGCGTTTGCTTGTGCGCACAATATGGCGCCGTCCATGGCAGAGCAAGGTTTTTGACATTCGAACGATTCACACATTTTATTGAAGTTATTGTTTATATTGCTATTGGGATCGGCGACAAGTTCAATTCCAAGGTAAAGTAGGAGTATATTCGAACAGCTTCTTTGGTTTGAGTGTAATGTTGATGCTGTGTTATCATCCTGCGAACTTCCGGTTCAAGGGATCCACGAGAAGTTACAGCGAGCGCAATATAATTTACATACATCTAACTCCCGCACCCGGTAGGTAATTACCGAGGGACTTTGCAACATCAGTGACCGTTGTAAACGCAATAAAGTTACATACACGCCTACTTGATAGTTAATCAAAACAACGGGCAGGGTTTCAGATGGGTTCAACTATTACAACGTGTAAGCGTCCAGTCAAACATTCATCAAACAATCATGTTTTTCTCATTGTTGATATCGGACACTTTATTATTTCATGCATACATATGCGAATTCATTTAATAAATTCTATTTTGAATGTTTCGCGAAAATAATAAACCTAGTTGATACAAATATTTAAAAACGCCCCTAACATATAATGAAATTGTGAGAACAGTTTAGTTATGAATGCAGTTTCTGATTTTAAACAATTATTGCTATTATGTCAAAGCTTATTGTTAACTTATTGTTTTTGTTTAGAAATCGTTTTATCTACATGATAATAGCCGCTTATTTACACAAGAAAACACGAGTAGAACTGACAAAAATAAATTCTGTTTAATCATCGTCTATAAAATTGAATGCGCAAACCATAAATAAAAGAATTGTACATGTGCAATGACCTTTATCGGATCACAAAGGTCATTTCACACTTGTAGATGCCGGAAATGTGTACCAAGGTGTGTGCTTACTTCTTTTCTGATATTTTTCGTCGCAATAGTCGTCCAACTTTGGACATTGATTGAAAAAATCCCGCAAATTTCCGCAGTGAAATTTAAAGATACATGATAAGATTATAACAAGATGTTTTGACGAGTCATTTTTCATTGGTGTGCAGAACTGTGCAGATGTTGAAAATCGTGCCTTTTGTTGTAATAGATTTTGGGCGTTGAGTACACTCAGCGTACGTCTTTCGCTGCATTTTGTATTATTGTTATCTGTTTGGGCATGCGCAGTGCGTTGAGAATCTTCGTGAAGCTTCCGAATACAGCCGAAACACGTAAGCCGATTAACTGTGACATTGTACAGCGTGTTTGCAAACTAATTACAACGTGTACTGAGTTGGACTAGCGAGGGCAGAGGTTCAAGGGATTGTGTGGCATTTCTGTCGCATTGGTTGGATGGATTGGTTGCTGGCAATGTTTGGGGGATTTTGACCAGTTTGTGACGTAGACTTGGCTTAGAGAATTCAGGCAAACTAGCAATGGTACCAGCTATTATGCGAAAAATTGAACGGAACACTCAAGGCTCACAACGCTAATATTATTAATATAAATCCATTGACAACATCCCAACAAACTACCAATCAAGAATTTACATTTATCATTTCTTAATATTCATTCCCAGTTTTATGTTCATATTATATTTCTCCCAAGTGTTACACAGCAATGATTTTTGTACTTACAAAACAATAGAATATTCCAACTACCCCCTTGTTTCTTGTGGCCACACATCAAAGGCATACAGCGTCCTGTGTTTCGATTAACTGTCACGCAAGCGGGTATGTAACTTTATTGCGTCTACGACGATCATTGGAGTGTCTAGGAAAGTGTCTGGGGATGTTGCAAAGTCCCTCAGTAATTACCTACCGTGTACAGGAGTTAGGTGTATGTAAATATCTTGTGCCTGCTGTAATAAGACTGTGGTGTAAATGATAATTACTAGTATATAGTAAAACATACGAAACCCAAATTTACATAACCCAACACCCCTATCCCAACCAATGTCTCTGCGTTATTGACCCCGGTTAGGATACAGATACGATCTCTATGTTGTATCTTGTACGTAGAACAAAATATTTGACCAAAAATAATTAAAAAAATTATAACCAAAAAAACATTCACTGTTACAGACAACAATAATAAATAAAACAAGAAACATTTAACAAATAACTTAAATTACTAAGTTTTCAACAGTTCCTTAAACATGATCTGTTTAGACAAAATCTCAAATTCTTCATTTTACATTAAGATTGCTCTCATAAATTGAAATAAATTTGCAAAATTACTAGTAGTTGCTTCCTCATTGATATCAACAACATGTTTACAATGAAGAAACAGAAAAGATAAAAAAAAATATGCACATTTTATTACAATAATAATCATGTACCATCAAAGTTTATGATGTGGAAAAGTTATTAGGGTCTGTGGGCATTATCATTATCTTTGTTGTCGATTGTGTTTGATCTACCAAGGTAACTAGAACCATAATCATGTGCAAACTCTCATTTCAAAGACATTTCCGCCATGATGTTTTCTTGCACGACTTTAAAGTATGCTTTGCCTGCCCTGTAGGCGATCACATATCATCCTATCAGTGTGGCATTACCGTAAAAATCATATTTGAGGCCGCAGCTTTAATAGAAGCCACACCCCTAACTTGAGACATTGTTTCATGTTGAAATTGACAAGTTTTGATCCCAGGAATTTTCACAACAATTCAACAAATTTTTATTTTTTTACGTTATTGTAATCACTACTGAGTAATAATCAGCAATTGTAACACTTCGAAAACAAGCAAGTTATTCACTTGAGTGAAACGCAGCATGACCGTTACCGTGATCATTTGCTACTAAGAATGCATTCGTTTTTGTTTTTACTTCTTTTAGAATATACTTTTCGTTATCAAAAAAAAAATGAGAAAATAAATATATATTACATTAAATAATATACTGAGTATTTTTTTTGTTATCATGAGAACATTTTTTTTGATTGACTTTTTTTATTTTAATTTCCCCGATGTCTAAATTAAACATGGAATGTACAGTCACTCTGCCGGAAGTTGAACATGCCAGTAGTCGAACGCAATCGACTGTGTCAGACTGCTGTCTCTCAGTTGTGACCTATACCAGTGCTAACGAATTAGTCTCTATTCAAGAGATTGTAGTATACAGTACTGTAATCTGCAAATGCATACAAATCTATTTGTAGATATTATTTATTGTGCAGTATGTTATACAGTGCGAAATTTCGTTTGTGTACAACTTTGTCTGTGTGTAAAAATCCGAGAGTGCGCTTATAATTGCAACAAAGTTGCAATCGAGTGTCGTGCATCTCATTAGCATATCATTATCCCTTCTGGCCTTTGTTTTTTGAAAAAATTTCCCACTGTTACCGAAGTGAATGCTCTAATTAAAGCCGCACCAAGACTTTACGCATCTGAATTCGTCCACCGTAAAAATGAATTTTAATTAAAGCCGCGGCCTCAATTAGGAATTTTACGATAATTCTTGAATATGAGAGATGACTAAGAGCTGTGAACAGTTCCATTATTTTATTATCTGGTGTGAATGACTGTTTCTTTCTTAGCAGTTGCTGCATATGCACAAAACATGAACAAGTGCAGCAACCTATATAGGATTCACTTGTCCATGATGACATCACACTTGTTGGAATACCGGATGATTGTACATGTACATAATTGTCCCTTTAATCATCCAAAGCTATTTAACATTACACACAGTAATACCAACCCTCTAGCAATCAACAGTTAATTCACAATTATATGATTCTTGAATTTCTAGATGATGACGACTATGGCGAATACGCAGGAGGTATTAGAAAATGCCGCAAGGCAGGTTGATATTCACCTACAACAAGACAAGGCTTATCCAGAGTTCTCTGAACTACTCAAAGTTGTACATCATGGTAAGTAAACTTTTTTTGTCCTAAGCATTGAAAGTATTGTTTTACTGGAAATTGCAGATCTGTAGTTCTCTGTTCCTTTGTACCGAAGTGTTTGTTTGTAATTTTCTGTGAGGTAATTTTGTTTGGGGATGAAAGCATAGACCAGTTACCATACTGGGCCAAACTAAAAATGATTTTACCTGATGAATGTTGGTCAATCAGGTCAGCTACAATTAGTGTTTCAACGTTCCTTTTGACAAATGACAGGTTCCAAAACTAATTTGGACAGACATGTACATTATTTATTGGGAAGAATCGAAAACTGTGAAAAAATTTAATGACTAGATCACCAAAAGTGTTTAATGCTTCTTCAATACTGTTTTTTTTTTTAAATGCTATTTTTCGCCAAATAAATGCCAAAATTATGTATGCAAATGATTAATTAATAAATTTGACAAACCAAAGAATTGATTTTTTGCATGGTATTATAAACATGACTGATAATAATTAATGTTTGTAACACCTCAAATACAAGTTATTTGCCAGTAAAATAGTATGACTGAATTACCGAATTTGGTATTTGTTTGTCACATGCAACGTAATATTACCGTAATTGGTATAGTACAGGTGTGATGGTTCAAATACCAAAATGACAACAGTAACAGAAAGACTTCCCTGGCGGCAATGATAAAATACAAATACGGAGCCAACAGATGAGGTTTCAACTGGTACTGGTATTAGTATACTCTGCAAACATCAAGTACAATAACGCGGTAAAACTCCACTACTCCAATAACTTGATACTTAAACTCCAATACAATTCAACGAGATCTCCGATCTGATCTCAGTGCTGAACAACTCCCCTATATATACCCGCACTGTCTATAAATAGACCATTACATCAGCATACATAATGAGTCTTGAACTTACTACAAATTTCTAGAATGTTCCATTACCTTCCATTGCCTCCTACAGTGTTCTATTACCTATTCAACCAGTTTCTAAAAAAAATATAGAATATTCCACCCAGACACAGTACGGTTCTAGAACATTCTCAGTGACACAGAAGTGGTAAATAAGTCGTATGCGACATTGTTTTTCTTTGAAACTTGATCTATTTTTATAACCAACATAATTAGTCAATGCACATTACATTAAAATGAGTATTTTTTGTTATCACATTGGAATACAGACAATTTTGTTTTGTAAACTTTTCTTTTGTTCATTATGCGTATTTTAAATCAAATCAAGGCTTTTCACTCCCGTTTGCTGCCTAAATTTTAATACTTCCTGTAACTACAGTGAAATCCAGAGCTACTTGTACATTACTGCTTGCTGCAATTAGTTTTATTTCATAACTTTTTTTTCACTGCAGGGCATGCCTCGACCAGTGGTACCAGTGAGTTGGATTACCCAGCACTCACTTCACCAGCAATAGGTCTTGGGCAGCTGCCATTGATCAGTCAAGTTAAAAAAGTTCCATTGCCTAATGAACTTGTGGAACAGTTTGGTCGTATCCTTTCAGTGCTGGCTTTTAGACTGAATTTTTAAAGTAGAAAATTGATACACATGAGATAAGATTTAGTTAATTGCATACATTTGATGGTATACTAGTATGTAGTATTAGTTTATCATGGAATGAAGTACCAGTATTTGAAACTAAGACAAACCCTGGGTCCGCAGCTTAAAACTCACACTATAGCTGTTAAGTATAAGAGCGTGCTGGCCCTGCACCTTGGGTTTTTGATTACTGTAAGAATATTCATGGCTACAAATTTCTCTGTGGGGTCATTAAGACTACATATACCTCAGAGTGCATTTTTCCATTTTTATTTTGTGATCATATATTTTGCTTTTAAGCCAGTAATGCTCGAGCAGGTTCAACATCTTTTCAACTTGCAGACCATGTAAAGCCATCAATATTTTGACATTAGTGGCAAACACTGGTTGTTGTTGCTGTAGTTATTTTTACAGTATTCTCTCCTGGTATTGGCTTAGAAATTAAGTAACAGTACAATAACATACCAATAAATTTTTTTTTCTAAAAAAATCATTTTGATGGGGAAGTGTGATTAAAAGTGCAGGTGTAAGGAATTTGAACTGCTGTTACTTTGTAGAATCCATGAAATGTTTATTAAGTGATTTACCATATTTATGAACTTGGCATTTGTGATGCTGGTAACCAAGGAGATAGTGCAGCTGGTAACCAGGGAGATTGTGCAGCTTGTAACCAAGAAGATAGTACTCTTATTGTTCAAATACTCTAGGGATATTATGCTTTCAAATTTTCTGTAAACAAACAAACATTAAATATTTTCGCCAAACACATGTATACCATTAAAACTTATTATTAAATATACCAGGGGGATATCTTTATAATTCACGATGTTCAAAAAAAATGTTATCCTTTAAATTAATTAACACTCTAAGTTTTGTTCACAAAACATTGTCAATTCTTTTTTCATTTTCTCATCCTGACTCTCTTCTTGATAATGATGATGCAATCTCTGCCTGTGTTCATTGTTAGTGTACATGACATCATTTTAATGAAATAGTTTTAGTAGTTTTATTTCCTTCATAGACATTTACAGATATGCAGTGTAACTGTATGATGGGTATATTTTCTGATATCAGACGTGCATGGTTAACTATTGATAGTGATATATTTGTCTGGAGTTATGAGGATGGGTATGTTATCTTTTCATTGTATGTGTACATTACATCAAATTGTTTTTCAATTTTGGTGTGAACATTTTTATTGTTATTGTTTGAAACTAAAATTCCATTAACAGTTGATTTGAGTGGTTGTTCATTAGCCATTCTCAGTATATTGAATACAAACATATTTTTATGCTGATTTATGCATTGCTTCATGGGTAAAAAAGACAAACAAAACATTTGCATAAATCAAAAACTGCCAGCAGGTAATTTTGCATCATTTGTTTCGTAAATTATTAGCTGGAATCCAATGCAATGAATGTTTAAATATGAATATTGAGTATTTAACTCCTGATGTTTTGATCTTGGATTTTTCTGAAGTTATCACACTATCAAACTGAACAGACCCATTGTACTGCGATTTGTGAAAGTGTGTGATGCTGGTTGAGAAAACTAAATACACACTTACTCACAGAATATTATATCTTCTTTATTTTTACAGAAGCGACTTGGCCTACTTTGATGGATTAAACGAGACTGTCCTTAGCGTTGGCTTAGTCAAACCTAAACCTGGGATATTTCAAAGCCATATTAGATATTTATTATGTTTAACAACGCCAGTGGATATAGTTTTACTTGGTGTCAGTTTCAGCAAACCACAACATGGTGAGTTGTCCTCTTCCAAACATAAACACAAAAAATTGATTTACATTGTTTATCAAATTAAACCTTTCTGTTCACTTTCCCAGGAAAGGACATCTGTTAGCAAAAGAATTGTATTCAAGTAAAAGTTCCTGTGCTATGCCCACGGTTGACTGTTTTCAGCTATCCAACTGTTCTTGTAAATTTATTTTTTACAAATATGAATCATGCCTTTTTTAGTGAATATTTAGAGTATATTTAACCCTTTGAATTCCAAATTTTCTTTTGCTTAGATTCAGGTGTATTTGTTAGCTTTTGCTGGTATTTCTCTGAATTCAATTTTAATTTTAGACCAAACAGACAAAATGTAACACTGCTTTTAGTTTTTGATAGAAAAATTTGAAAATTTTGCAATTTTGAAATTGACTTTGGCGATCAAAAGGTTTTTCAAAGGCGTCAAAGGGTTAAGATTGATTCAATAAACAATAGTTTCTGTTATTTAAATAATGATTTTGTTTTGATCTGTGATACAAAATTATCAACCAAATCCAATTTAAGAATAAAATTGATAAACGGTAAATGAGTAGTGTTGTTTTTCTGAAAGATTATAATATAATTATAATACAATCATGTATCTAAACTTGCAATGTCAATAAACTATGTAATCTTACACACTAAATGTGACATCACTGTATTGTGTATTGGACGTTACTATAATGTCAGGTTTCACATGTGGCATACATTTCTTGGGGTATGACATGTCAATTTCCCTAGTTTACATGATACTGTTTTACAATGATAAAGTAAGTCAAACATAAGTAGAAGGTTGACATGCAACTGGTTAATCTATCAGTTCTTACTAAAAATCTATAAATTCCTACTTTGATACTGCTACTTAAATCCTGTTTTCTTTGATAGGTACAATGGATGAGTACAGTCTTGGTGAAATGCATCTATTACCAGAACCACTGTTTTCAATACCAACTGATAACGTCTTCATGTTGGAGGTTGTTGGTACTGAGAAAGGAAGAATATTTATGGCGGGCAAAGATGGCTGCCTTTATGAACTATTGTACCAGGTGAGGGAATGTATGCTTATTTGAACTCAGGTCCTGAAACACAACAAATAGTGAAATAGTAACAAACTTGGGAAAAATTATATGACAGTGGATGTTTCGCTGTTTTTACAAGTCAAAAAGTATATCTTATGAGGTGTTCCATAACTAAAAGATCTCAAAAAAGTTGTATTAAAATTGTCCTATTACTATATATAGAATGATTGTGTTATTGAATGTATCCCAGAATTCATCAGAGTTATAAAAAAAACAGGTACAGTGTACCATATTTTTTCTAATTGATGTGCACATTATTTTTGTCTTTTCTCTTCAGGCTGAAGATGGTTGGTTCAGCCGAAAATGTAGAAAAATAAATCATTCAACGAGTAAATTGTCATTTCTTGTGCCATCATTTCTCAATTTTACTTTTTCTGAAGACGGTAAGTTGTCTATATTTTGGTTTATATTTGACAATCAACACTAGTAAATATTATATGAATGCCAGCGCTCATGATTGCAAAAATAGGAGCTAGTCGACAGCAACATTAGGCAATAATCATTCGCTATATCCCTGTTCGTCTTCTTTGAGCGTATCTGTTTCTCAAGGAGAGTTTATTCTGCATAGACGTTATCTGACATGCAACATGCTATGTAAAGAAACAACAAACACCTCGGCACAACACCAAAATTGTTTGCAGCCATGTTGTTTTCATGCTAAGTAATTAAAGGTGCCGTTCCATTCTGAACTGGTTTGAACTCTGCCCAAACAGTACATTGGAAATAATCTCCTGGTAATTGGTGAGAGGAACTGTAGTTCGGCTTCGATAGAATGCTGTTGTGTAAACATAGAAGATATATACAAACATAATAATAAATTTAAAGATGTTCATTATTTCTGTAATTATTTTCAGATCCAGTAGTGCAGATATCTGTTGATAATACACGTAATATACTATACACTAGATCAGAGAAAGGAACAATACAAGTGTATGATTTAGGTACTGATGGTATGGGTATGGGTAGAGTAGCGGCAGTCACACAGAGTACAACTGTACATAATGCAGCACTTACTGCTAGGTATGTACGGTATACTTGTGTACGGCAGAACAGACAATTTTTCTGCACTTTTTTCTTATATTTTTCAATATTTCCGGAAATGAACATTAATTTTGGAACCAATAAACGAAATTCGGAGAGATGCTGAATTGTTGGAGTTATGGACATCAAGTTATGAAAACATTGAGTTACAAAAATGACCACGCTCATGTCTAAGAAACCATGCACACATTTGAGAAGCCACGCCCAAATTGAAACTCAATGTTCAATTAACAGTTAACAGAACTTCGGGCAATATACAATTTTTTTTTGGGCATGGTTTTTAAAATAGGGGTGTGACCATTATTGTAACTGGATGTTTTCGTACCTTGATGTTCATAACTCATTGTTCGTAACTCGAACAACTCAGCATCTCAATTTGAGGCAATTTTTAAAAAAAATTTGGCTATTTTTGTCCCAATCTTCTGAAGAAAAGTGCAGACCATGAATTGGATTATTTTGTGATGAAAAGAGGGAACAGGTGGTGAAAAGGATAAAAGGTGCGAAAACTGTTACCATATGCATATTTGTTCCAGGGGTTGTTCTAGAAAAAACTGCAAAAAGGAGCACTGCAATTCAGCGGCGCCACCAAGTGGGGGAGATAGGGTTCTCCCTACAAGGGTGTGGTAGTTAAAATGGAGCATTCTATGGCTTCCTTGGGGCCAAAATTACTATCAGACAGGTCACAGTTGAAGACTGTGGCCACATGTGATCCCTGGTCAATCAGAATTTTATGGTTGCCAGAGGATCTGCTTTCCAGGGTAAGGGGGCGCATGGCCATGGCATGAGGGCGTTGCACCCCTGTTCCCTTGTTTAAAAAAATCCCTGTGTTCTATTAGAAATGCATCTACAATAAAATCCAGTTGCTATGTACCACAGCCACACTAGTGTACATAAGTGTATATGCTACCCGTAGAGCACATACGGTATATGGCACTTGGAATTAATAAAAAAATTACTCATCTACCGGTAATAAGTTGTATATTTGAGTTTTGATACTGTATTTGCTCTGTCAGTTGTGTATCTGGTCAAAATAATAGAGCAAATACAGGATACATGTATTCACCATGTACCTTCATCATTAATCCTGACAGCTTAGAAATACTGTACATTTCTAGCGTTGAATCGTGTGGGCACAGTTTGGGAGGCTTATGGATTGAGTTCTGCTTGGCCCATCATTTTTCTTTTTGTCCATCACATTTTCTCATGTTCATGAATATATATATTTTTTTTTCTAAACTTTGTACTTATTTGATAAATGATGAATATATGCTTTCGATTTGTTTTCCTAATGAGATTTGAAATGTCCGGCTGGTGACCATATTTGACCACAGCATAGCCTCCTATAATTGTATGTGTTATCTCCAAGTTGCTTACCAATATATCTCGAATTCATAGTCTTTTGCATCCATACTTGATACACAGACAATTTTGTTTTAGTACATCATGTGGGTCATTGAAAGATGATCAGTCTTGCGATCCAATCCATGCTTTTATTGGTTTCCGTTCGAACGCAGTCTGAAACCGGAGACTTATGGATTGACCTCTGTGTGTCCAAGTGTCTATGTGTGTGTGTTCAGACCTATACCTTAGACATACCTAGGCTGATTACATTCAAACTACACACATACATCATATATATTATTAATACATATGCACATCAACTTGTTTGATTCAAGATGGCCGAATGGTGGCCAATTTTGTGCTGAAAAATCATCAAAAGTATTTATTGATAGATTTTGTCCAAACTTGTTGGTCATTATGGGACCTTGATGCATATCATTTTGTTTTTCAGATCAGATTTAAAATGGCCGACTGGCGGCGTTTTGTTTTAATGAATGGGCTTCGAGAGGCATATTTCATATTTCCATGCTTTGACTGATTATGTTCAAATTTTATATATTCCTTATAGATCATGTCATAGATATACAGATTCATTGGTTTGATGATCCTATTCAAAGTGGTGGAATGGTGGCCATTTTGTTTTAATGAATGGGCTTCTTGAGCCATATCTCTGCCATGCTTTGACTGATTATATTCAAATTGTTTATATTCATTATTGATCATGTCATAGATATAAAGATTTATTTGTTTGACTATCTGATGCAAAATGGCCAAGCGATGGCCATTTTTTTGCTAAAAAATCATCAAAAATCAAACATTTCTGGCATTCTGGTCGTTTATGGTTGGATTTTGTTCAAACTTGGTACATACATATAACATTATGGGTCCCTGATGCAAGTCATTTTTTTTTTCAAATCTGATTCAAAATGGCTGACTGGTGGCCATTTTGTTTTAATGAATGCGGTTCTAGAGCTATATCTCTGAGACGATTTGAACTATATTACAATAAACAAAACTATATATCTTAAGTTTTATAACTAACAGGGACTGTGCCATGCTTGGTTTGTTTACTATGTATCTTGCAGTCCAAAATATTGAGTTCACAGTGTAGAACTAAAAAGAAATATATAAATATTGACCATTCATTTGTTTTATAAATACTACGAAAGAAGAGATGGGACTGACACTCTTGTAATTGTTTTTTTTTAGAACAATAGAGAGATCTAATTTTAAACCTATTGTACATATATCAGCCATACCAACCACAGAGTCTTACAATGTACATCTTGTAGCAGTGACACAGTCTGGTAAGTTCCATCTATCATCATCCTAGTATCTGCAGGTTAAAAATAAAGAGCATTTTGCAAAGGAATTATTCAAAATAGAGTATGCCGTTACCAACCGTATATTGAATATTAGAACTTGTCAGTTTGACATGATGTTACTTTTTTTTTTTATATATATTCTTCCCCACAGTTCAAAAACTGAGACTTATTGATCAACCACTCTGAGTCTGTACGTATGTGCATGTGTGTTCGGATCTATGTCTTAGACATGCCTGACCGATTTATTCAAACTTTCAATTATTGTTGTTTCCTGGTTATTTCTTTTGATTTTCATGTAACAAATTCTATTCCTAAACTAAATTGTAACTAATTTCCCCTGAAATTCTAAATATATCCAGAGCCGAAATCGACAAAGGTCTAAAAGCTGCAGGAGTTCTGAATCAGCTTTTGTTCCAAGTCTTATTCTAAGATGACTTAGGGAAGAGTAGGAAATCAAACTCGCGGTTTACCGCGGTCATTACCGCGGTGGTGGTGGGTGCTCGCCGGTCGACCGCATTTTATGCAAATTTATGCAAAGATTCCATGACCCCGGTTTACCGCGGTCG